CCACATCCCCAGCCCTATTTTGTATGTTATTTAGAGACAGGGTCTCACTGATTTGCTTAGCACCTCACTGTGACTGAGGCTGGTTTTTGAACTCATGATCATCCTGCCTCCGCCTGAGCTACTGGGGTTATAGGCGTGCACCATCACACCTGGTTCTTCAGTTTCTCTATCATTTTGTTTTCTTATACCATCTTGAACATATAGAACATGCCTTTTTATGTTCTCAGCTATTATTTCCAACATTTCTGTCATTTCTATTCAGATTCCTTTTTATATGAACTATTTTCCCCCCTCCTTATGAATCATGTTTCTTCTGCTTCTTTGTATGACTAGACATTGAATTTTACATTGTCATGTTCTAGGTTTTTGTTGTTTCTTTTAAACAGTATTTAGGTTAAGATGTGGTTACTTGGAATCTTTTGGATCCTTTCAAGCCTTCCTTTTAAGCTCTAATAGTGTAAATCCAGAAAACCTTTAGAGTAGGGCTAATTTAACTCTAAGGCAATATCCTGAAGATTTTCCCAGGTGCTGTGTGTATTTTGAGGTCTTTCCACTTTAGCTGTTAAGAACACACACTATTTCCAGCTCTGTTGAGCTTAGGAATTGTTTGACTTCCTGCTTTTTGGTGATTCTTTCCTCAACTTTGTGGGTGTCTTCTTATTCATGCACAGGCCAATACTGGGCCAGAGACTTGAGGGAATCTTTCAGCACATCTCTTACACTCTCTGTGTGCCACTCTCTAATTCAATACTGCCTTGAAAATTGCTGCTGGCTTTTTCTCCTTGAACTTCTGATTCATCCACCTTGTCTGTGTATATGTCCTTCTTCTCTGGACTAAGGCCTGAAAAGTACCTCCAGGCATTAAGCTGGGGAAACAACATTTGCCTCTCCTCTCAGTGCACTCTCTCCCAAATGCCTTTTGTCTAATATCTGGAAATGGTTGTTTCACATATTTTGTTCAGTTTTGGGGTTAAGAAGACAGGATAAATCTCATCCCTGTACTCTATCATGTATGGAAGCAGTTCTATTTTTCAACCATTTTTAAAGTAGGAAGGGCCTGGGAACATTGACAAACACTCGTAATCCCAGAGGCTCAGGAGGCCGAGGCAGGAGGAGGCAAGTTGAAAGTCAGCCTTAGCGACTTAGTGAGACCCTGTCTCAAAATTTAAAAATTTAGAAAAAATGGGGGGCTGGGGTTGTGACTCAGTGGGGGTTGAGCACCCTTGGTTCAATCCCCAGTACCAAAAAGATAAATAAATGAAATGGGAAGGAAATTAATAGAAAATATTAGTTTTATAAAATTTGGGTTTGGGGAATGCTGTTAATTTGTGTGTACTTGGAGTTGGTGCTGGGGCTCAAATCCAGGGCCTTGCTAGGCACATGCTAGGCAAGCAGTCTACCTCTGAGCTATACCCCCAGCCCAAATACAATATTTAAAACAATAACTCTTTGTTGTTGCTGTGCAGTTTGTTTGATTTGGTTTGATATAGTGTGGATTTAACCCAGGGGCACTGTATCTCCAGTCTTTTTCTTTTTCATTTTGAGACAGGGTCTCACTGAATTGCTAAGGTTGCCTTTGCCTCTTAATAGCTGGGATTGTAGGCATGTGCCACCATGCCCCAAATATTGTGTAAATTCCATGTGATACCTGTATTTATAGCTCTGTAGACACTGTAGTCAGATGGAGATAGTAAGGAATCTTATTTTTACAGCACTCTGTAAATCTTTCTAGAGTAAGAAAGATTTCACATTTTTATCTCATTTTATTTGGTCCTTGGTGAGCCTGGAGATATTATATCCATTTTTACAGTAGAGGAAATTAAGGTTTAAAACAGTGCTTTTGTCAGCCTTCTTCAGTAACTTCAGAAGGATCTGAAAAGTTTTCTTTCCTTTCTTTGCTTCATTGACGTAAGATCGCTTTTATATGTAGCATTTATCCTAATCTTTCAGTAAATTAAGCATGTTTATTTGAATCTCATATCTTTACTCTCTAACTACACTATCCATGGATTTCAACACTGCATGCTTTTCCCAGTTTTTGTTCGTAGAACCTTCCTTCTAGGTGTGTTTCCCAGTGTCGAATTCAGATAGCATACAAGAATCTTAAAAACTTGAGAGTCCTTATAATGAATCATTTTACAATAGATGAAATGAGACATTATAATAGAAAGAAGCTTGGGTGAGCCTCTAGAGACCTGTGTTCTTATCTGCTTTACCACTGCCTGGCTTTCTGACTTTTGGAAATTTATTTAATGACTATGCACCTGATTTTCTTCACCCCCAAATGAATGTTCTTGTTTAGCAATGTCTCTGGAAGTACTGATATTTTGTGATTATATGTGTGAAATTGCACCTAGTTGTGAATTCTGATTAATTAAATGCCGGATGTATAAATTTTCAAAGAAACAGCAGAGTTGAACAAAACTCATCTTTATGTGTTAAGAATCTTAATGATGCTCACTCATAAAAGCCAAGAATCCAGTGGTTCTCTAAGAAGCCTAATATAAGAGAATTGATTTTTTAAAAATGATGAAGTCCTTAAAGTATCATTTTTTCCCCCCACAGAAACTATGAGAATTATTTCATCAAAGCACAGAAGGTGAGGCGCCTCATTGCCAATGATTTTGTGAATGTTTTTAACTCTGGAGTGGATGTCTTGCTAACCCCCACCACCCTGCGTGAGGCAGTATCATACTTGGAGTTTATCAAAGAAGACAACAGAACACGAAGTGCCCAGGATGATATTTTTACACAGGCTGTAAACATGGCAGGTGAGAGTCCCTCAAGAGTGTTGTGGTTTTCTTCAAATTCTTAGGCAGGTGCCCTGGTCTTCGATTTAGGTTCTAGCTAGATTGTTCCCATAAAGAAACAGCCTATCCTTCTGAAATACTTAGAAGTGTGTGTGCATGCATTCTTATGCACACAACCATATACACACACAAACACACACACACCTTCTGAACCAATATACTTTGTATTTTTTAACTTTTATGTTGAAAATACTAAAACCTTCAAAAAGTGAAAAATGATGATGTAATGAACATTGATATGCCATTCTCCAGGATTCATCCTTGTTAACATTTTACCTCATTTTCTTTCTCTGTCTATACACACACACACACACACACACACCTTTTAACTGAATCATTTTGAAAGTTTCAGATATTATGACACTTCACTCCTAAATAAGTTAGCATGAATCTTCTAATAATAAAGACATTATACATAACCACAATTCCATTGACACACCTCAGAAAACTAACAATTCAGTAATAATCTGATTATACTTCTTATTCACATTTTCCTACTTGTACCAAAAAAATATTTCATATATTGTTTTTTCCCTGGTCATATTGTATTTGTTTACGATAATCTTTTTAAAATCTAGAGCATCACCCACCCCATGTCTGATGTTTTGACACTATATCAGGCTCTGTTATAATTTTTTTTCAATCATCAAACATGTAGAAAACTTAAGAAAAAGGAAAGTCTATTTTATTTACCCACATTTCTGGTGTCTACAATTAGTCTTCCTTCCTAAAGTATGAAGATTCTTTTAACACATTCTTCCTGTTTAGAGAAATTGTTTGAGCCATTCTTTTAAGATAGTTCCTGATGGCAGCAGATTGTCTCAGATTTGCAAAAATGTCTTAATTTCCCTTTCACTTTTGCAGACTCTTTTGCAGGAATAGAATTCTGGTTCACTGGTTCTTACCATTGGCACAAGAAAATGTCATGCCACTTTCTTCTGTCCTGCTTAGTTTTTAATGAGAAATTACCCATCTTTAAAATGTTTTCTCTTAATAAGTTTTTTGGGGTTTTTTTGAAGAGTTCAGTCTACTTGTCCTATAGGATACTCCATTCACAATCTGGATTTCGTCACATTGTTTCTTTCTAATTGGGTCAAGTTAAACATTTTGGGCACAAACAGTACACACTTTTCATATCAGGAAAGAGTTACTATCATTTTGTCCCACTTGGTTAAGTAGATAAGGTACGTTTTTCCTTTTATGATTTGTAAGCAACTTATGAAGTGATACTCTTGAGACCATGTGAATATATTCTTCCCCGATAATCTTGAACCCAGTTTTAGCATCCATTTATTAACTAGCAAATTTCTCTATATAAGAGCTTTCCTCTTTTTAAAAAAACTGAATGTATTATAAACAATTATTGTCATTGTTTTTGATACTTGAATTGTCCTAAATTTGGCCAATAGGGATCCCTTCAAGTTATAGGTGTTCTTTAAACCCTTTCCCATTTTTTTAAAAACTTTTTTAATGGCATAACAGGATATTCTGTGATCTTGTACTTTTTCTGCTTCAAACCTGAAATTCAGACTACCCTGAGCTACTTTCTTATCTAATGGATGGGAAAAAAGTTCCAAAGCTCAACAACAAACTCTGTTGGCAAGACTATAGGCAAAGAAGATGTATTTTTTCTGATGGGAATTCAAATTGGAACAGCTACTTTGAAGTGGGATTTCTAATAACATATTCATTTATCCTTTGATGAAGCAATCCCTCTTTATCTAAGAAACTTTCAAGAATAGCAAAAAGCATGTACACAATTATTATATACTGGGGCATTATATGAAATAGCTGAATATTAAAAACAACCTAAATGCCCAATCATAGAAGACTGGTTGAATTATGACAAAACCACATAGTGGAATCCTATACAAGTATAAAAAAGGAATGAAGGTCTCTATAAACTGAAAGAATGATTTCTAAGACCCATTATTAAGTAAACAAAGCATTGTGCAAAATACAGAGTATAGTATTTATTTTTTTAAACTTTATTCTGCTTTTACCTCCTAGCACTAGAAAATAGAAGATGTCTCTGTTTCTTAAGATGGAGAATTAATCAACTAATGGGTTTCTTCTTTTCCTCAGGATTACCTGCAGTGAATGTCCCTATGGCCCTCTCAAGCCAAGGGTTGCCAATAGGACTGCAGTTTATTGGACGTGCATTTTGTGATCAGCAGCTTCTTTCAGTCGCTAAATGGTTTGAAAAACAAGTACAGTTTCCTGTTATTCAACTTCAGCAGCTCATGGATGATTGTTCATTAAGCCTTGAAAATGAAAAGTTAGCTTCTGTTTCTCTGAAACAGTAACAATAAATGTATCATGCAAATTAAAATGACTTAAAGATTCTAATTCAAGAGAATAAAATGATTCTAGAATCAAATGATTCTAGTAATTAGGTTCATTGTCAACACAGTCATTGCCTGGAATCATTTTTAAAATTCCTCTGATATAATTAATTAATTATAATAATCTGTCTACATTTATTAAATATCTGATAAGTGTAAAGTACAGGATTTCTACTATAACACCAGATATATATTCCTGAAAAACAATACATTCTGCAAAAATGTTCATTAAAAAGAACAGAATTTATAGTAAAAATAAGCTTAGGAAAAAACCTCTCAAAACACGTATCTTTATAACTAAAGCACTAACAAAAACGGTAATTGTACCTCCAGAGATAACCTACATGACCTCTCCTCAAGCAGTAGAGGCTGCTTGAGGGAGCGTTAAAAACCACACAAAAGCAATCAAGCAATATATTCTCTTTTGAGTACTGTACAAAGCAGGTGGGAGAGAAGTTCTGCTCAGAGGAGGAAGTGCAACCCGCCAGGACCCAGAGTCATGCAAAACTTTGGGGGATGCCTCTCTAGGGAGGAGCCCCAGGTGCAGACACTCCGTTTATTTCTCTAAGAATAGAACTAAAGTGACTGAGAATTTTTTTCCCTTTCTTTCTTACCGTTAAATTTTTACTTCTGCTATCCCAGAGCCTGTGCTTAGGAGCCAGAACAACTCCGTGCTGTGTTGAGTTTATTCTATTTACTAATCACACCTGAGCTTGTTGAGGTCTTAGAAACATTTGTTGTAATCTATCAGACCATATTGGACTAGAAAGTTGGTAATGGCGGAGCATGGTTTTAGTGAGATTCAAAATGTGTAAGTTAACATATCATCTGAAACACTTGCAGATCATCTGGTGAGGATGCCAAAGAGGCCCTGGCAAGAGCCTGCTTTACCCAGATTCTCTCTTCCTCATAGTTTCCTAACCCTCTTGACTGTCTTTATAAATTTTCTCTATTTCTCTTGAGCCCAAAGAGACTTAATGGAGATTTGTATTCAGTATTTGTCCAAATCTAATGGAAACCAATGTCTACTCACTGTGAAGCTTCATTTTTAGATATCTTTATTTTTGCTAGGACACTACTGTCATCTCAGGTTGATCAGACTTCCTGACTTGGCACTTACATATTTTTTGATAAATGTAGAAAACGGAATTATTTAATAAAGTCACTTTATTAAGAAAAATTATTTTCTAAATATAAAGTCCATGAGGAAAAAAATAAGAGAACCACTAGAACGTTTTATCAAAGGAATTTGATCTGCCTGTAACTTCTTATTAATAGTTTTCCCCTCCTTGAGATCCTCCCACTATCAAATGATCTGATACACATACACACACACTTTTTAAGCTGGGTTCTCTATATTACTGATTTTGACTCCAAATCCCTGAAAGAAGAAGTCCATAACAGAGAAAATTACATTGTAGTTGGCTCTCCATATCCATGGGTTCCTCCTCTCCAGGTAAATCTAACCATGGGTCAAAAATACTCAGAAAAAAAAGAATTTTAGAAAGTTCCAAAAAGCTGAACTTGAAAGCTTTGGCTTGCATGGAGTACTTCATGAATCCATGCAAATAAAGTGATAGGACATATAATCTAAAGATGATTTAATATACATAGGGTGGTTTGTGTCGATTATAAGCATCTTGGACATTTATAAAGGCACTTGAGATCTGTGAATTTTGGAATCTGGTGATCCTGGGCACTTGAGATCTGTGAGTTTTGGAATCTGGTGATCTTGGAGCCAGTCTACCTGAGACACTGAGGAAGCCATCTAGTTGAAGGAGTTAATATGATGTAAAATGCAAACAAATAATCTTTGTCCCAATCTATTTTTAATGTATGTGTAATTTGAAATGAAAAATCTTCAAAGAATATTTACTGTTGTTCCCATATCTCAACTTGAGCTGATGATTTGAATCTGTAAACAGGGAAGTGCAACATTTACTGTTCACATGTAATAATATCAAACTAGTATGAAAGATACCTAATTTGTGTCTCTCCTCCATCTTGACCCTAAATCTAGTAGACCTCATTTTGCTAAGTCACTGGAAATTCAAGTGACAAAAATTCTGTGCTTCACCTAATTAACCCCTGAAATTGACAGCAACAGAGTGCTTCTGGAAGGTAAAGGTGGCTTCAAGTGTAAGATGAATATTATTAATAAGACCAAATGAAACAGACAAACAGAAAAGAGGAAAAGTTATGCCAGGGTAAAAAAAATGTGATGCAGTCACAGAACTTGGCATTCTGATACCACACAGTCAGAGGAGCAAATGAGAAAACCAGTGTTCCCTGTCAAGCCAGGCGAACTGTTACCAAGAAGATCACTTGAAACCAGGAGGTGGAATGTTCCCTTTGAATGCCTATTTGACATCACATCCTTTGTTATGACAATGAGCTTGGGCCATCTAGAAAAAGGCAGGATAGTACAGAAGAAGAGTTTCTTTAAAAAAAAGGTTTCTATTAGGAAATAAACTGTAACTTCTGACATAAGCAAGTATCTTCAGAATTTTAGAATAACTTGAAGGACAGTGAAAAGAAGAGGATTGGTTCCAGTTTTTTCAATCAGTAGACTCAGCAAGCTTTGTCACATTCTGTCACATTTGAAGCAGGAAGTAAAATACCTTTTTTTTTCTTTTTACTGGTGATTAAACTCAGGGGTCCTCTACCACTGAACTAGATCTCCAGCCTTTTTATTTTATTTTTAATTTTGAGACAGAGTCTAGCTAAATTGCCAAGGTGGGCCTCAAACTTTCAGTCCTCCTCCTCAGCCTCCATAGTTTCTGGGATTACAGATGTGCCCCCCTGCACCCAGTGACAAATAATTATAATCTTAAAACTAGCTTTTATTATAAACATTTATTTATTAATTACTCTAACCTCCTCTCTTTTCTTCAGATATAATTATCTGTACCAAGCTGAATGCATGTTAAGTAAGCCTTGGGTACAGTTTATTCACTGTGTTCAGAAACATCAGAAGCAGTTTAATAAAGAAGGCCTTCCTCTGTTAGTTCATAACTGAAGCAGCATGTACACTAGAACAGAAACTGAAATTTTGATAAAAGTAAATAATACAAGAAAAATCCAGCCAACATTAGGTAAAAGTAATTACTACAGGGTTTTATAGGGGCTTTTAAAATTTACTTTTCTTTATACTTCTATGGGATATAAATCCACAAGGATTTTAGGCAGTTTCTTTAAAATGTTATTATGAAGGTATAAAAGTGAACAGTTGGAGGAAATCAGTGAAGCAAAGCAATAGTAAAGGTGAGGAAGAAGTTTATACTTCTTGGTTATAAAACCAGGAAAAAGATGAAAAGCAAAAACGCTTGTGAAGGTGCCTATGCAGATGCTAAGGCTGTAGTGTGATAAAATGGGGCATTTCTACTGGGGTAAACTCACTAGATTTAAAAATCAGACAAACCCAAGTTTGAATCCTATTACTGCCATTTGTGAGCTGTGTAACTTAGCTTTAGTATCTTCATCTGTAAAATAAAGGTAACATCTCGTCCATGGAGTAAGATTAAATTTAAATGGTGCTCGGAAAGTACCTGGCATGATCCCGGACAAAACAGGCAGTCAATAACTTGAAGCTGTACATCAGTGCGTGCAATCATGAATTTAACTCATTTTCTTATAGAGATCTTATGGTAAACTAATGGCATATGACGCTCCTGTAATTTACTAAATGCCTTTCTAGAGACCAACCTCCCCAGTGATTTGGCTTCCTTTGAAGATAAAGTTTAAAATATCTGAAAGAACTGCAGGACTGCACTTTTTTTTTTAAGTATTTTCCATGAACTTTTGATTTAAAAAATAGGCTACCGATCTGGAGGTCTTCAACAGCACTTGGACTCTGACAACCAAATGAAGCGTGGGATTAACTGGCTCCTTTAAGAACATAGACCCTGATGGGCTCAAACAGTAGAGCATTTGCCTGGCTTGAGCAAGGGTTTAACCCCCAGTGCTGCAAAAAGAAAATAGGAAGTTTATCAAAAAGATAAAAGGAAGTGTCTTCAAAAATTGCCACACCATATTTCTGTGGGGAACTTTTTATTTATTTATTTATTTGTAATGGGGATTGAACCCAGGGGTGTTCTACCACCCCAGCCCTTTAATTTTCTTTTCAGACATAGTCTCAGTAAGTTGCTCAGGATGGACTCGAACTTAAGATCCTCCTGCCTCAGCCTCCTGAGTCACTGGGATTACAGGTGTGTGCAACTGTGCCTGACAGGAAAATGTTTTTGACAGAGCTAAGTTATTCCTCATAAAAATCAGTTTCATTCCAACATGCAGTCAGATAATTAAGGCTCCCAAATACTGTATCTCAGCTGTAATTATTTTAATAAGGGAAAATTGTAAGGTAGATGTTACCAACGGCCCACTTGTGTATCCATCAAGAAAAAGAAGTTAATGAATTACCCAGGGGACATCTAATTGTAAGCAATTTCACTCCTTGGTGTGGCTTCCTAGATAAATTAGTTGCAAGATGGGCCTGCAGGTTATCTACTCACCAAAATGATAACTGACAATGATAGCAAGTTCACTTAGCAGGACCGACTATCTATAGAAGCTAATCATACATAATGCTTATCATTCTGCTTTGTGTGGTGAGTTCACACATCTAAATTATCCAAAACTGGTTTCAAGTCATTAGCATACAAACTAAAAGGAAGTAAGGCTAGAATTCAGAATTTGAAGACTTACCAAGAATCCCGGATATTCTAATTCTAATACAGTATCAGAACCATTCTAAAGGCAAGCATGTAAAAAATCCTACGTCTTTTAAAATTATGTGCAAATTATTTTCTTAGGATGCTACTTTATTTCTCCATGGAAACAGCCACTAGAATGCAGGTAATTGGTGCAGAATTTAGATAGTGCTAATGGTAAAAGAAACGAGATACTAAAAGTGAAAATCAGGAAAAAAAAAATAGAGCTTAATTGGATTGGAGGATACAGGAGAAAGAAGGGAGTAAAGAATGATTTT